CCATAAGCTTCGAAAAGCAATTTATGAGCTGCAGCTGCAGTTTTTTTCAAGTCAAAGTAATGAAGCAGCACATGTCGAAAAAACAACTTATCACGTTCCATATTTAATCAAAAGAAAAAATAGCACTGCTCGCTTAAATGAATCTCTTCGCACTGAATTTTATTGACAAATGTCTAACCTCTAAAATGCAGCCAGTTTCAGGTGTCAAAATAAATTACACCTACAACTAACGTCATCTAACTGTGAGCCGCAGGAATTAAGTTTACCACCTAATACATATGAAGCAAAATGTCTGTCTGCTTCCTTTGGATAATTGTAAATACAGGCTGTTGCACTTACACAGTCACGACGGGTTACGTTTCGCTGACAGACGCGTACTCGAGCGCACTCTCAGCAGGCCTCGCGAAATGCTCATTCGCGCGCTTTCTTTCTCATGAGGTTCACGTTCCAAGTGAGAATTCCGCACCAAAATCTACCGAGATCGCGCCCGATTGTGCGTGCCTGCCAGCGAAACGCACTGGCAATCCGTTGTAGTGACTTGTATGCAAGCACAGCAGTCTGTACTTGATATTTTCGGCTTTCCCGGTGTTGTCCAATACTTGGCTTGTTTGGACCGCGTCTTCCTTATATTTGGTTCCGACTAGAGACCCTTGAATCAAAGTCTGGCCATGAGACAACCAATTTTGATTGGTCCACCATATTTTGTCAAATCCCACACAGTATCCACGCAATTGCAATATCACAGGTTAAGTTAGGTTAAATAGAGATAGACAGAGAGAGAGAGAGAGAGAGAGAGAGAGAGAGAGATTCCATCCCTCTCGAAGATTTTGATAAAATCGAAGTTATGGCCAGACTCTGATTCAAGGGTTTCCATTTCCGACGGGATAATTCTACAGGAGATCAATGACATCCTCTCCCTATCATTGCCATTTGCGAGGAGGATCGATCGCGGTTTTCGTCGCGACTCGAACGTCCACTTTGGGGGTTTCGTCGCTCGAAGGAGAAGGAAAATAACCGTTCTTTATCGTTCGGCCGGAGATATCGTCTCGCGAGCGGCATTTCGTGACCTGTGCCCCGCGAATGCAACGACGGCGACGACAGCGACGACAGCGACGTCTGGTCTCGAGCGATATAGCCATGGTAGATGGCCTATTCTGATAGAAGAGCACCGCTAACTCACCGTCATCTCGGCGCAGGAGTGGTCGATAAAAGTCAATTCCGATTCCTCGCCGGCCAACAGCACACTGACGGTTTTCTCGCCGGACTCGTCGTCTGGAATGAGGAAAAACGACAGAGATATAAGTAGAAGTATAGATTCCCTCTAGGCAAGGACTCGCGAGGGGGTACGCACAATTAGATTCTCTATAATCAGTCGAAGATCGTCGAATATCTGCTTGTGACTCGACGCGCACAAATAGAGCAATGGGTGCGAAGGAAAGAGAAAAAACAGAAAAATGTCATGACGAGCTATTTCCGTCGGAAAATACTGCTGTCGCTCCTGTTGGCACACTGAATATGTTTCGCGATGTTTCGCTTTTCAGCACGGTGTCACCCCGGGGAAGTCGCGAAAAGGGTTGCGTAAATGTTTTTACTTGTCGAATTGGTCCTGCCCAGCAAGCGGACATCCAGGTTCGACTCCTGGCAATATTTTTCGCAAACACAAAACGAAATGTCAACCAGTGCTGCCAGCACTTTGGCACAATTATATCCGATTTATTGCAATTAATGATTTGTTACAACGTTTTTGGTCTTTTGCAGCCAGCATATCGCGTTCTTCGTGCAAGAAGCTACATATCTGTGATTATATTTGTGATTAACAGCAATCTGGTAAATTGTGGTCCGACGTTCAGTATGTTTTTTTTTGGCAACACTGGAACCAACTAATAAGTCAATCAACAGTTAGTTTATCTAGGAGTAGGAAGAGAAGGATTTAATATCCTCTTAATTAAGAATAAAGGATAGTTTAAACAAAGAAAGTAGCTTTACCGCGTACGTTGTACTATTTATAAAAACCGAATGATCCAACTCACAAAATTATAATTTTTTAATTTTTGTAATTTTTGTTTTAATTTTTGTTTTTTGTTTTTAATTTTTTAATTTTTTAATTTTTTTAATTTTTTAATTTTACCAGTGGATAATCTAGGTTTTTCTACATAAAACAAAAAAGATCCAAGCCTTATAGGCGCCTAAAGTTAATAGAAAAACAATTTTTATTTTCTACTAGTTGCGCCACTTTTTACTAGTTACACCCATTCTTCTAAGGATCAAGTTTGTCCCAATGAACGCCCTCAAAGAGAAGAAAATTGACAAATTGTGCTTGACTTCTTGAACAATTGCAAAGCACTTCGATACTATTTATACTTTTTAAGTCATGCGTTAAATTTTCATTTTTTTCGAAACGTAATTGATGTGAATTGGATCGTTCTTACATAACTACGACGAATTCTGTTTGACAGTAAAGAGCCGCGATTATATAGATTCCCTTCGCATTAGACCGGTGAATATTTCCGTTAACCATCGTCGCGAATTCCGCCTGGGATTATTTCGGACTGTCGCGCACGCGATCTCGTCGCGCAGCCAGCAATCGATGCAGAACGATCGGCGGAAAATCCGCGGGAAAGTTTTCTCTCGTTCTCCGCGGGTTCCGGAGAACTCTATTCCGACTCTCCGCGATTCTCGCTGGTGCCACGTGCCGCGAATCGATCGCACTGACATATTCGTGTTCTCCCACGGGGTGAGAGGAGACGGCAGGTAGGAGGGGGAGCCGTACGAACGGCCGCGATGGCGTAACGCCGACTCACCGATCGAAGTGTCGTAGGCGTGCAGGTACTCGGAAGTCATAAATTGAGACACCAAGGAGCTCTTGCCGACGGCGGGGGCGCCCAGCATGAGGACGCGGTAAGGCGCCGGGCCCTGCGACGCGCTGCTCTCCCTCGAGCTCGCCAACGAGCCCGCCGCTGAATTTCGCGCCGACCCTGGATACGAGGCGGTCAGGTGCTCCGTGCTGCGTCGAATAGAAGAAAGGCTAGGCGCGTATCGAGATTAGGGATGCAGCTAGACCATCAGTTTTCTTGGGGGTGGGACAAAACGAGGCTTTTGCAAGAAGTCGCGCGACTCGAAACTCTCGCATGCTCGAGATAAGCAAATAAATCACTTATTAAGGGCATGCCGAAATCGATGCTGAACTCGAATAATGTCGATAACGCAGAGACGATCGTCACAATCGCGCTATCCTTTTTGTATTTCTTGTACACTGCGAGAAAAGACTGGTAACTATAACAAACTGCATTTAGTTACAGAAATTCATTGAATCCTTAGTAACTAATACTAAATATGATAATAATTACCAAATATTTAATAGATCGGGAGTATGACGTAATTGCATTCACAGTAACATCAATTAAATAATTTAGTAATAGTTACTTAATGTTAAATATTTAATATGAAATATATTACAGTTATGAACAGATATTTGATAATTGTTACGAAATCGTTATATCCCATATAATAAAAAATTCAGTAGATACGAGTTCTATTTTGTTACCAGTATAAGTATGTTTTGTTGCAGCACAACGAAAAATTCATTCATTTACAGCCATTATATCGTTTCAATATCTATTATTACAGATAGTTGGTTGAACCTATCAAAAATTTTGTAACTATTACAAAATCGCTTATTTTGCTCAACTATTCAATAAGTTTTATTTACCAAATATATTCTGGAAGCAAATAAATTTTACTTCTGTCAAATAAATAATTTATTTTACAGAACTAAATTAATTAATAAGTATTGCCATAGCTTTAGCCTGCTATATTTACGTCTATCATTTAGTAATAGTAACCAAATTTTGATAATATTTACTAAATTCTTCTCTCAGTGTACATACAGAACTTACATGTGTTGCTTCATTTCATCATATTAACCACACCCGTAGAAATTTTTCGGCAAACTTTTCAGATATTCTCAAGCTTCTAAGTTCAGATGCGAAGCTACAGCAATGTTCTTCAAAATTTTTCCGTTTGGAGCATCCACACTTTCGGCATATATGCCGCAGAACTTTTGAATTAGGCAAATATTACACTAATAGTTTGAGATTTTACATTTAAATTTTTTTTTTCGCTTTCGTCAATATCGAGCAATGATCCTATTTACTTTTGCACGTACTTTCATCGCGTAAAAGCATTTGTAATTCTGTACAACCAATACGACGTAAACTTTGCAGAAAAATGTCATTATACTGTCGGTAAGTACTGCTGAAGTTACTGCTGAAGTTACAGTATTATACTGTGCTGAAGTTTTCCACTTCAGCATCCCCTTAATGGAAGAGATCTTTAGTTCAATATAACAAAGAAGTGAAAATTTGAGAAAAAATGTGTATAAAGGGAATTATATACATATAAAGTAAATACTGTATGAATATAATTCGTTCGTTTGAAAAGAACAATCTTGTTATACCAAAAGAACATTAAAAAACGCTTAAATGATGAAGGATTATCTCCGAAAAATGTCAGTTTTGTAATTTAACGTCAGTTTTGTAATTTCCCATTTGTTTTCCTCACATATTAAGCAATGCTCCAATTCACTTTTGCACTGCTTTCATTATTCTATATATCCAATTTGACGTAAACTTTGCAGAAAGAAGGTCAGTGCTTTATTCGTGCAATTTTCGAGTACGACAGCCTCTTAAGTACGTTTAAAACGAAAGCAATTATTCTTTTAGAAATAAACGACCGTTAAATTTGACGTGTATTCAAAAAAAAAAAGTGAAAAAATACATGGCTTTATTGTCACGTAGCCAAATTAATCGCGATCTCGCGTGCAGCTATGAAAACGCAATTTAACACACTGAACACTATACCTCTGTTTTTTAATAGCCGTAATTACGAAGTAGAATGAAATTTTTATTATATTTTCGGACACACACGTTATTCATAAAACATACAACAAAAAATTATAATTCAGCGCAAATACGACAATGCGGTATATTCTATAGCGGTTTATTTTATAGAAGGAGCGCGTTTTCGCTCGACAGCGCGCCGAGGCGAGCAATTTCTAATAAAGAAACGCTTAGAGATACAACGGGAAACACGAACGTCTCTAGAAGATACTTAGCTTTACATTAGCTGCGGATAAAGAGAGCGGTTCCGTTGTCGGGGTGAATATCTTATGAGAGATCCTTATCCTTCGCGTGTCTCGTCAATATTAATTTCTTCCTTCCGGTAAACTGCTAGATTTCTTTTTAATCGTCTATCCCGAGACTCGTTCTACCAAATGTCGCGCGTTGTTCGTGAGACGCGAATCTGCTTATAACACGCACACAGCTTCTCCGCGATGTATATATCGTGATGTATGTAAATAAGCAATGAACCTGAGCAACTACCGCTCCACGAGGCGTCTCGTAAGATTCACGTCAAACTTCGGGAACGTGTTTCTCGAATATGTAAGACGATTTCACCTCGCTGGAAAATTTCATCAGACGCCACCGTCGCCGCCCTCGCGGTGTGAACGGCGGTTTCTGAATTTTCAACGTGAAACGTTTCGGCGACTAAGCCTCGAATCAAGGTCCCGCCGCCGAGGATACTTCGAGGATTAACGAAGAAATGGAGTTTCGCGGCCGCCGCGGCTCCAATTCGTCGGGATCTCTTATCTTACGACGCTAAATATAAATCTTTAATCGAGTCTCTCTCGTTTGGTATTTTCGCGTGGATGGCGGGTCGACCTCGAATTTCGGTCACGGACTGAGTCTCGCGCGCGTTCGACACGAACTCCAGGAAATGTATTCTTCTGCGCCACGTGTCTGACATGAGAAAGCGCGACACTCGCAAGCGTAAAAAGAGCGGAAAGTGTGGCCCGTGAAAGCCGAAATCTTCTTTGGCGCGATTGCCAAATAGAAATAGTCGCGGGAGGGTCTCGTTGTGTTTGTTGTGTATTTCAAACGGAATCCTCCTGTGAATATTGCTATTTACCAATCACACCAAAATAGAGAATTGCGACTTTGGCTCTTATATGCTACTTTTTCTATACTTTGCACTTTAAATTGTTTCTACGAGGAGCCTGTACAGGGTGTTTGATAACCGACGACGGAGCCGCGGTGTGCAAGTAGAGCGATCTGAACACAAAAAAGTGCTCTCTTTTTCCTCCGATTTTTTTTCTATAATTTTTACTGGAAATACTTTTTCATATCTTTCTTAATTTCTGAAATATCGAGTCGTAAAGAGTTATATGGGCCACACTGTATATACACACATCACGCTCATCAAGTACAATGTATCAAGTATGTGTGTGTATATATATACACATACTTGATACATTACACTTAATGAACGTGATACTCGTCTCGAGGCAGATATCGATATCAAACTCAATAATTACATGTTCGAAGAGAGAGCGGGGGGAGTAAGAATCGTAATAGGTTTACTCGCTCGTGCATGAATATTCAACGTTTCACGTTTCGGTCCGCGGGACCTGAATAACAAGATCAGCGCCGACAATGGCAGTGCTAGTTACTTGCGTCGCTAATATTCCGCGTCTCGTTAGTTCCGCACTATATTATACGCTATCTCACATGTTTTGTTACACGCCACGTTATATACACGTCATATCGCCCGGAGGCAAATCAGAATACGGTCGACGTTTACTTCGAAATTGAGTATACTACGGCATACGAGTGCATTCAGCAACGAACTTGTCCCGATTTCCCGTCACCGCTATCGCGCCGAATGAATCTAACGGTATTCTTCCGCGCTAAATTCACAGACTGTCCAACAAATCGGTAGATCGAAGTGAAATTCTTCCCGAGGATCTGGCTCTCATTGGATATTACGCGTGACTGAACCGGCACAGCGGCATGCAAATTGCGAAAGCAATTGGAGTTGTATCTCTTTTAATTAGGGGGAGTACACCTTCGACAGAAAAATATCGAAATATACTCAAAACGTGTATCTCAGTTAAGAAACATTTAAGAAATAGGATCCACTTGGTATCGCAAAAATGCTTCGAATCGTCGTACAGACCAATCATAATCCTTCCTTACGCGCTCCAGAGCATTTGTAGTCTCAAATGGATCCTACCTTAGATATCGCTAAGGATGTACAGTACATGCAATATTCGAGTGCCTTCTTCTTTTTTTAAGGGACAGGGGTGAGAATAATTCACAATTCGATGTGAAATATGAGTAAATATTCAGATAAAGTCTTTGAGACTTTGAACACGTTCGCTACCACGGTTTATTCAGAAGATTCTTCTCACAGTTTACTTCATATTTTTTTCTCTTTTCATATGCGATTGTGTAGAGCAGATTTAGTTTGATAATGTAGAAGAGAAAAATTGTTGCCATTACACTATATGTGACGCTGGTCTCCAGCGTAAGATCGTTGAGCCGCACATATGCGACGTCGGTAGCGAATGTATTAAGTCTCGTCCACAATACATAAAGTAAGCTTGGCATAAGTTGGAGTAAGAAATAGAAATAATTTATTTCGCTTACGTTCATACTCTAGCTTCTTTACACCGCGGTATAAAGAAACTAGAATACAGGGGCGTAAACGAAATAAATTGTTTTTATTTCTTACTCCAACTTTTACGCCAAGCTTACTCTGCATATTGTAGACAAACCTTTGAGAAGATGCTGGTACCGACATAATGCAGCTGTTTTCTTCCCACTCGGTTATACAGAATTACGATGCTTGTACAGAGCGAAAGTACAAATGGCACAATAAATGATGAAGTATAAGTTGTATAAGAAATTAAAGAAACAATTTCTCTCTTGTACAATTCTGTACAGTCAAATAAAAAATACGATGTATTATGTCGGTAGCTAGGATCTCCTTAACTCTTCCGCTACCAATGGGACACACATATTTTCCACCATTAATAATTAATAATAATAACCTTATTGAAATGAATAAATAGCATTTTAGCACTCAAAACACTTCAGATATCATTCTATTCATTACCTCATTGGGACAAATATACTTTCTCCTAAAACCCCAGCGGGATGTCAGTGTCTCGGCTCTATCCTTTTGGCGCCAAACTTTTAATTTTTGTTGCTAAAACTACGTTACATCAACGTACTTAGTGAAGTGAAAGTAAAAAAAAAAAAAAAAAAATAGTACGTTTAAAAGGCAACATTGGTAGCGCGAGAAGGCCAACGGGACTGACCTTATCTGAAACTTTACCCGAGTTCAAAGTACAGCTTAACTCTGCGGTGTCGCGTTCGCAACGATGTTCGAGGGCCGCGCTTTAAGGTCCAACGCGCGTGTCTACGTCACTTTGAACGCCACACGTAAACTCACGCGTTCGATCTAGAGCGACGGTCCGAGCCGGGTCTTTTTCTTCTTCTCTACGCTCCTCGCCGCCGACGACCTGGAGATGAAGTCGGAGATATTTCGCAGCGCGCTCCTACCGAGCGGAACAATCGCGAACATTGCCGCTCGACCGTGGGACGACCGTAGCACGATTGTCGATCTACCTGCTACGACTGTCGACATGCCGCTCGACGAAAAAACGCGAACCTGTCAATTTTCCAGCGAGATGCGCGCGCCGCGCGAAATGCGCGACGAAGACGCGATGTAACGAGGAAAAATTGAAGATAACGTTGTCTCTCGAGCGCAATGATAAGAGACTCGGAAATTCGCAGCTGTCGAGCGAACTCGACGTCGGTGTTCTGAGATGATGTATTTCCATTTTTGATATTTCAATTATATATACAGGGTGTCCCAGACTCTTTCTCAATTTTCGTAAGAACGTAAAACGGATTGAGGTGAACATAAAGGTCCCATAGGTGAGCTGTAGTGGCGCCATCTGCCGCTGTATACCTCTAGATTAGGTGAAACTGAACGGAAAAGTCTTCTACCGTTTTACAAATGACCACATAGATTTTTAGATATTAATTAAGGAATATTTATCGCGCATAATCACGTAACACAATTTTCTTTCATTAATAACTACGTGGTTATTTGCAAAATGATAAAGGACCGTTTTGTTCAATTTTTTTATCTAATGTACAAGCACACAACGGCACTATAGCTCCACAATTGGCGAGAATCAGGACTCACCTGGAGTTGCTGGACGCGACGCTGTTGTTGGAGCGCGACCTGCGGCTCTTGAGTGAGTCGCCCCGGTTCACCACACCCTTCCCCGTGATGCTGAAATGCCGTAGCCTGTAATACTCCTCCTCCACGCCGGTGTTGGGCATACTGGCCACTCGCGATCTCTGTTGCGGAAGACACAGGTAATTCGGCCGGCCGGAAGAGCGGCTCCCGGGGGCCTTCACCGATTGCGAGCGGCTGTGATGGGGGCTTCCATATCTACGACAGCGTAGTCATCGTCCAGACATCACTTGACGGTGGTATCGCCGCGGGGGCGGACACGAGATGGGAAAATTCAACGCGTGCCGGAGACAGGAAGGTCGCGAGTTTTGCGAGAGACGCGAACTTGAAGGCGGGAAGTTTTCAAGAGGTAACTCGTCGCGATGCTTCAGGAACATGATATTCTTTATATTACCGATGAGAACGCGATAGAAGAGACCAGGGTTATTTGACCACCGGGATAAGTTGGTAAAATCGATTATTTCTATTGTTCTTTAACAGATCTCGGAATCGAGCAAGCAGAGATTTCAAAGCTATCTTTGATATATTTAAAAGTCTTGCTCGCTTGATTTTCTAACCTGTTAGAAAATATCAGAAATAACCAATTTTGCCAATTTACTTCGGTAGCCAACTAGCCTTGGAAGTATTAAGATTTGCTGGTCGCGCTTTCGCAGACATCTTCTCGCTCATAATGCCACCGTCCGTCGGAGTATCGGACTTCCGCTTCCGGCAGAGCCGCGAAAATCGGATACGTGTCTGGTAAAAACTTGGTGCGAAATTTCCGGGCAAAGTCTCTTCCGAATTACTTGAGATACACGAGGAGGACGATGTTTGCCGAGAGTTCGCCGCATTAGCCGCACGCTCTAGGGACGGTTCTTCCGATATCTTGAAGATATCTCTTCGATACCGACACAGTGTGTATGTGTGTGTGTGTGTGTGTGAGTGATCGCATCATCGCTCGTCGGAAGGAATCAGGGCGATCGATACGCACCTCATCTCGAAATCGTGTATCTCTTGTAGGGTGAGGGTGTTCGCGACGTCCAGCAGTTGCCGCATGTTCTCCTCGCGCCGTCTCGCGTCCGCGTCCGGATGCAGCAGAATCGTCGCCGCGGGCGCGTCCAACGAGAGGGACGGCTGTTGCACCACGATGGTCGCCTGGGTGGTTCGCTTGCCGCTGCCGCCGCCGCCGGCGCCTCCGCCTTTCGGGGATGAAAAATTCACCGTCCGTTACTCTCAGCGGGCTCGCTCGAGTTTTCTGCGGGTCACGAGTCGCGGAGGAGACGAGACGAGACGGGACGGACGAAACCGAACCTCCGCGACTCTCGTCGTCTCCCCCTCGTACCCTGCGCCCGTTCCCTGCACCGCCACGTGTCCTTACTACCCTCGGGTGCGCCAACGCGCACCCCTTCGGTTCCTTTGCCGCTTCTCCGCGGCGATCCTCCCCGCGAAGTCGCCGGGAGGCGCGCATTTCGCGCGAAATGGTCCAAACGGGATCGCCGTCTCACCTGACGTCCTGACGATGATGGCGCGTCGCGGCGACACTTCCGATACAACGCGCGCGGATCTGATCAGTTCTGGTAGCAGCGCGCACAGTGCAAGATTTTAAGATATTCCTCTGGCCATCATAAATCATGATTTAAATTCAAATTTACAATATTTTAATTTAAATAAGTAATTTCTGGGCAGCAATTTGGCAAGTTAAATTAGTTGTATACATGGTGTCCCACACTCTCCTCCGCAATTTTTATGGGAACGTAGAGAGGGTAGAATGGTCAGGTTTCATGTAGCCTATATTCCCCACAGGCTCGTGAAAAGTAACTAATTTCGTTCAAATCGGTCAAAAGTTGGTGAAGAGAATGCCCGAAAGTATAATAAAACCTTGTCGAAAAATTATGGGATGAAAAAATCGTACTTACTTCTCAATTTTATAATATTTCATATTATTGAAATAACAATTTTAAAATAACAGTTTTGCCACGAGAAGGAGAAAAATATTACAAAATACTGACTCTCGTCAAAATCTATTACGTTTTCAGTTGAAAAATCGTAAGAAATACCGCAGGTTGGCGTTAATGTTAGTAGCTTAACAATTAAGTAGATAAAAATTAATAAATTATGTAAAAATATATCAATACATTAGAGGTGAAGGTCATTCAACGTATAAAATTGGATCTTTGACCAGATTTTACTTAGATTCTTACACTGTGCAGTGTTTGTGAAATTTGCTTGCTGGCACGTGTCGATTCTTATTGTTATCCTGTTCGTGTTTCAACGCGCGTGTAAGGCGTTAAAGTGTACAGAATCGATCGAGTCTCGAATCCGTGGTATCTTTGACGGATTTTTCTCAGCGCAGAAAAGAAATGTCCAGGCACGAACAGTTTGTCCGCCGTAAACAACCGAAGATGGGAGATCGAAAATGAGAAGCGAGGGAGAAACTCGCGCTCTTCGATTAATTTCACAAGTGGCGTTTACTTTGGCGGAATATTAAATTGAGGCTTGATTGGTGAGTAGAGTTCATTGGGGAACTTGATAATCCGCGATTGTGAGGTATAAAAAATATTGTACTTTTGCGTTATACAGCAGAAATTCATCTTGAGAAATTCATCTTGAGGAGCTCAAACGAAGAATAAATCCGAAGTGATGCGACTTGTTCACTTAATCAGGAAATTGTTACATTGAAAATTAGTGCAGGAATATTAAATTGAAACGTATCTCGCATACATACGATAATGCACGATCGAATTTTCGAAAAATCCGAATCGCTTTGCAGAATTTCTCGCTCTGAAATGCACAAGTGAAATGTGCAAATTTTCGCGCGAGTAGCGATCAACCTTTTTTTTATCATGCGAGATGAAAGTATTTGATCGAAGAGAATTCTCGCGTGGCATTTTGATGAAAGAGCGTGCCGCGGGAAAAATTCAGCAGGTGATCGTACGATCGGTCAATAAATCCACCGACGAATATTCGTTAATATCGTCTTTAGGGGAGGTCGGGGCTAAATGTCCCATATTTCAGCAAATTTCCAAGTTACAACTTCTCAGACAACTGATTATCGTGACTGTACGCATACGATAGAGGCAGCTTTCTTCTAATACCTGCCACATTATGCCGATTTTGATGAAACTAAGGGAAAGTATCTGTGTCCCGAAAGGACCATTTTGCGGTTTTGTATCCACTGTGCAGAAAGCACGTGAGCAACATAGGCCCCTGAGACCATCTAGGCCCAATCTCCCCTACTTTCGCGAGTTTCACGATTTCTCCTCTTTTTTTTCGAAATGCATCGAATTCGCAGAGTGCGCGTTAACGGGCCAATACCACGCCGCAGCTAAAAGTGATCCTTTCGCGATGCGGGCGAGCGCGAGTTACGGCGCGTAAACTTTTTTCATCCGAGATCGTTCCCGGCGTGGTTGTAATTTCTGATGGTCTGCCCCGCGGGTAACGCGCACCGACGGGAATCTCCAAGACGCGGCTCTCCCCTCGTTTAAACAAAAGTTCCGCAATCTGCGAACTCTCTCTCTCTCTCTCTCTCTCTCTCTCTCTCTCTCTCTCTCTCTCTCTC